AATTGTGAAGTACACTAAAATCCCCCCCACGCTTTTCCTAAAAATTCCACAGTGGAGCAGGAAACTGCCAATCAACCAAACAGGGAATTTTATGGAAATTATTCTAAGGAAATGGGTATTGAAAGCATTGTCATTTAAAAGAAACCCCTATCTCCAGGGCCTTTGCTGGAATTACACATATTGCTAAAACGGGGGTGTTTTGTTTGGTTTAAGGCCATGTGTGAATATAGCCATTGCAGTTTATGCATCAAGGTTTATATCGTAATGTTATGTGTAACCATAGCTAGCATATTTTAATGCAATAGTGCTTAACTTACTGTAATTTGAACTCAAGCAGATTGTCAAGATATAAATATTTGCAATCACATTATTATTAGTGTATTTTTACAGTATTTAGCTGTCTGCATAATTATCTTCAAAAGTGGTTTCCAAATGAAGAAAAATGTAATCATGCACAATAAATTAAAACAATATAAATCACATTAATTAAAAGGGGGAAAGGAACAGACCAATTCTTCTATAATATTGACTCAGGGAATGTTTGGGCGAAAAGACCGATTCCTCAGTGATATAGCTGCTGGTGTCTTATGGATTTCAGCAAGGAAATTATGCAGAGATCACTTTAAAGTAGGTTCACTTCGATCTATCATGCAAAAACATCGCTTAGGATGTTATATGTAGAATTAAAATACTGAATCTGGATTGGGAGCTAATTGAGAGCCAGGTTGGTCTAGTGCAGGGGTGTCAAACTCAATTTCATTGAAGGCTGCAGCAGGGTTGTGTTTCACCTCAAGGGGCCGGGGTGGGTGTGGCCAAAATGGGCGTGGTCTGCTCAATGTCACTCATGTCGGGGGCACCTGTGCTGGCCCAAGTGCTCTGCCAGAAGCACCAAGGACTGGTCCCTCACTGTTTCCAAGGTGGCCCCAGGGGCCAGATCTAAGCATCCCATGGGCCAGATTCAGCCCATGGGCCTTGAGTTTGACACCCCTGGTCTAGTGGTTAAGGTTAAAGCAAAAAGCAGGAAAGCAGGAGACTGTGAGTTCAAGTCCTTCCTTAGCTATGAAAGCCAGCAAAGTAACCTTGGACCTGTCACTCTCAGCCCAACTGACCTCACAAGGTTGAGGTTAAAATAGGAAGAGAAAGATGTGTTGGATATGTTCGCCACTTTGAGTTATTTCTAACAATATTAAAGGTGGGATATAAATAAAAATAAATTTAATAAATAAATAGTGACTTAATCGCTAGCTCCCAACACCCTGATGAAGAACTACACACAACCAGGCACCATATAAATACAACATGTAGAACAGGCCCAGTGCACATATTCTGGAGAGAGAGGAGTTCCCTGAGAATGGGTTCCAGCATGAGCCCGAAAGCTTGAAAGAATAAATCTTTGTGTTCTAGTGACCAACTCAGATTGGGTCCTGCAATAAATAAATAATTGGCAGCCAGTCCAGTTGCTTCCACAGAGGTATAATAGGTGAATATCTGCATGCCTCCTTCAGCAACATGGCCACAACATATTTTGTGCATGTGTAGTTTTTTTTATTAGAGACATTTTAAAAAGAAACAAAATTTTGAAATAAAAAAGGAAAGGAAAGTAACACGGAAGGTAATTTTAAAAAGTAAAAAGAAAGACATAGAAAAAGGAAAGGCTATAAAGAAGCACCTTCCAATTTTCCTAACAGCAATTACAAGTACATTTTGTATTTTACCCTCTCACTCTAAGGCAGAGGCCTCCACACTTGGCAACTTTAAGACTTGTGGACTTCAACTCCCAGAATTCTGGGATATTCTGGGAGTTGAAGTCCACAAGTTTTCAAGTAGCCAAATTTGGAGACCCCTGCTCTAAAGGTTACAACATAATTTCCTATGGCCACCATATTTTGCATCAGCTATGACTTTTAGATGAAACACAGTTACAGTAACTTCCACTTGAGGTGACCAGTACATGAACAACAGAAACTGTCTTTCCCTATCTAGGGAAGTGGAGAATTTTCTTGTCCTAAATTGGATATTACTTCTAAATATCCAATTTAGGATAAGAAAAATCTCCACTTCCAGGGATAACTTTCCTGGATGGTTTCTGTTTTGTTTGTTGGCCATTATCCATCCTTCAATCACTTTGTCCCAATACCAATTCAAAATATGCAGTCTATTATTCAGATGGTTTATATTAGGGCTCTATGTACTTTGGAAGAAGTACTTTGGTTCTGGCATAAGTGAATCACTTCCTTGCTATGTATTAAAGCAGTCTGACCTTTTTTCAACTTGAAATAAAAGGATACGGTTGTTTTAAAGAATCTACTCATTAAAGTTAATGCTGCTCTTACAGCAGCTCCACCTGTTTTTCAAGCTCAGATGGATACCTTGAAAAAAGTGGGGTTCCTTTAATGAAAGCTAATAAAGTTCTTTGCTTGAACTTTTTCTCAAGTTGAGAAAATGATCTGAATAACTTTTGTGAAACTAAATAGAATTGGCTATCCACAACATATTGACCATTCAATGTCTCAAAATATGCTAATGTTAACTATTATTTGGGACAAGATAAAGCCTTGTGGCAGCACATACAGTAGCTGGTTTCTGAGATCAACATTAAAAATAGGAAATGAACCACTGTAATACAGTAATCCCAGCTCACAGGCACAGTGCTGATCAATGAGATCAAAACTACATACTGAAAAACAAAACAGGATCGATCAGTCACATTCCCTCTGTCTTTCTCTTGCAGGAAATCATCTGCCAAGGTTATTGAGGCTGATTCTGTCCCCAACCATGCCTGAACTCAGTTTAAGAGTCAGTATAATCAATCTCTTCTACGAACACATAGAGCAGCATAGACATCACTCTCTCTTTGCCTTAGCAAAGGACATGTGTATCAGCGTCCTTGGACCCTGGGAAGGGCTTATTTAGGAGAAGATAGGCAACCGGCTGTTATCACTCAATCACACAAAGACATGTTTACCACTCTATGGATCCACTTAGTCATCCTTCTTTGGTTTTTTTGGAAAAATCAGGACTGGTAGGGCTCAAGAGGATACATATGAGCATTTTGTCCGTGTCAGATATTCAAATTGGTTCCATATGATTAAGCCAAGTGATGAATTTTATATCTCAATATTAAAACCAGGTTAAAATTGGCATGAAGATGAATGACACTTATCATCATTTGCAGTTCTGTCACATCAGATTTTTGAGGTCTCTTTTAACATGTTTTACAGGATATATAAGTCTTTATATATGGCTACTTGAGGATGCAATAGAAAGCAACATTATATAAATGAATATATATCTGATCTTAATGGCAAGCTAACATTTACCTTCTAGCTATCTCTCAGATAATTTTATTTCCCAGTGTATCCCAGTAAACTTTGCTCCAAGGACTCTTAAGAATATTTGGTTTCACTGCTATAAAGAACAACAAAGGCCTTGACAGAATCATCACTCAAGAGGTTCCAAAACCTGTGGAGACAAACCGACTTTGTAAAGATTCCTTTTCTATAGAAAGACAATAATATATTAAGATCTGACCCTCAACATTCATCACCAGATGATGGCCGCATTATGAGAGCGAGCAACTGCTAACTCTTGCTTTGCAGTATCTGAACTATTTGCCCTATGTGCAAAAGTGGGGGAGAAGTCAAGGATATACCCTGCCTTATTTCTTTGACAAAACAAACCTATAGCTATCACATGGAATTGAAAGCTTCTTGAATAAGGGCAGTCCCAACCTACATTTTAAAAATCCTTCTGTTGAGTCCACCACAGCCCACTTGTTTATACAGCTGTGTGGGCTGCATACTAATAGTAAACATAGTGCATCCTTAACCAAACCCCAGGAAAAGGCTTTCATCATCTTTGAAGAAGTTTTTGGGTCAGTAAGATTTGATGGATCTCAACAAGTCTTGCAGTCATGTTTGATGCTGTACTCAAAAAGGTATGCGCTCTTTATTCAGAGTAGTTACCCATCTTCTAGTAGGGCACACAAGGTTAGCTCTTTCATCTGCAGTCATAACATGTGGTAATTCCACTCAAAGACCTGAGTAAAAGAGTAAAACAGGAAGGAGCTAAATAGAGTTCTGGCTTGTTGTGTATCTCTTCTGTCTTTTAAATATCTTCTTCTCTCAGTTGCTAGTGATCATCCACATTGGGATTTCTACTCTCTTCTATCCCATCTTTCTGCTGTCAAGATATCTCCAGCATTCTTCACATTATTAACATGGAAAGAAAATGGGATGGGAATGCAAAAAATAAAAATAAAATAAAAATCGCATATTCAAAAACAATTCAATTTAGCCTCTGGTTTTATGCAGAATAAATGTACCCTTAGATGTACATTCTCATTTAGGAGTCAACCTTCAGTAGGCTGGGGGCCGAACTGAGAACCCCACTCTCCTTTCTTGGGAGCGTCCATTGCAAGGTCCCCTGAAACAGACCATATTCATTATTTTCCAGAAAGTTCAAAGGGTATGACTTTCACAGCAACCATCCAAGTGGCTCCCTTGAAAAGGACAACCTGCTTTAAAGGTAGAACTTCCCATTTTAGTCAGCTGCAAATGGAGCTCTGCCAGTGGAACAGTTTTGGTTGATGCAGTGTTTAATCTGTAAATATATCTGTATTTCTTTCAGGTGCAAACATTTGCCCCGGAAACAGCATGTTGCAAGATGCAGTAAAGCTGTATACCCTTAGCAAGGAAGGGACTGTTCTTCAGGCCAGGTCTCACGGACTTTCTACACTGCCATGCTATTATATCCTATGACATACAATCAAGATGAAACAGATTTGGTGAATTAAGCAGAGCCCTTGATTATAATGGCTCACAGAACTGTGTGGTATTGGAAAGTATAAGTACCCCAAAGACCTGCTGGACTTGAATGTTGGCAAATGCTATGGCTAGTGGCTGCTTGCACACCACCATCTCTCTTGATTCTCTCTGATTACTTTCTGGGGACCCAGAATAGGATGGGTGATGGACTTGTAAAGGGAGGTGCTAATCTCCATGGAGCCTTCTCTTCCCACCCCGTGGGTACGGAATCCTGCCAGGATCAGAAGACTGCTTCAGACCTCCCAAAGTTCGATGCTTCTCAATTCTAGCCTAGACACCAAGCCCAGAGATGTGGCCTCTGAGTCTGTGGGTCTCTTCTTCATGCTTTTGATTGATCTGACAGCCATCGTGGGCAATGTAGCAATTATGACGGTCATTATCAAAACCCCAGCACTGAGGAAGTTTGTCTTTGTGTTCCACCTCTGCTTGGTGGATCTTTTGGCTGCTATTACCCTAATGCCTCTAGCCATGCTGTCCAGCTCAACTTTCTTTGAGGGCACAGTCTTTGAGGATGCCATATGTCATACCTATCTCTTCCTGAGTGTTTGCTTCATTACCATGTGTATCCTTTCCATCTCAGCTATTAATGTAGAGCGCTACTACTATGTGGTGCACCCCATGCGCTATGAGGTCAAAATGACTGTAAGCCTGGTGGTCTGTGTCCTGGTTGGTGTCTGGATCAAGGCAGTAGTTATGTCCATCATCCCCATCCTGGGATGGCTTTCCCAAGACCATGTCAATAGATCCCTAGCCTACAATGGACAGACCTGCTCCTTGCAGTGGAGCCGAAGTGCCTACTGCAAGTTTTTTGTGATTTTCTTTGCTGTTTTCTACTTCCTCCTGCCAGTTTCCATTATTTTGGTGGTCTACTGTAATATGTTTAAAGTGGCCAGAGTAGCTGCCATGCACCATGGTCCACTCCCCACTTGGATGGATACCCCACGGCAAAGATCAGAATCTCTTAGTAGTAGGTCCACAATGGTGACTAGCTCAGGAGCCCCTCGAACTACCCCTCAGAGGACGTTTGGGGGCGGGAAGGCTGTCATCATCCTCCTAGCAGTGGGGGGACAATTTCTCTTCTGCTGGTTGCCCTATTTCTCCTTCCATCTCTACTCGGTGCTGAGCTCCCATTTCCCTGGCCAGCAGACGGAGAACGTGGTCACTTGGATGGGTTATTTTTGCTTCACCTCCAACCCGTTCTTCTACGGATGCCTCAACCGACAGATCAGAGGAGAGCTCAGCAAGCATCTCACCTGCTTCTTCAAGCAACCACCAGAGGAGGATCTCAGGTTACCTAGCAGAGAAGGCTCCATTGAGGAGAACTTTCTGCAGTTCCTCCAAGGGACAGGCTGCCACGCTGAGACCAGAAATGCTCTTACCCAGCCCAGCCCCAAAAGGGACCAAGCTCCCATTGATTTCCGGATCCCAGGACAAATTGCAGAAGAGACCTCAGAGTTCCTGGAGCAGCACATGAACAGCGATATCACTGCCTCCGATAACTACATCAGAGCAGCCCGTTCACCAAAGCCTGAGCTGTAGCTAGGCTCCTTTCTTTCTTTTCTTTTTTCTTTTTTTTGCACTTGACAATCTTGATTTATCGATGTGTGAAATGCAAAATATAGCAGATGAGGAAGAATGTGTACGTTTGTATATGGGGGAGTATTTAATAAATACACCATGGCAATTGGAACCCTTTCTCTCCAGCGTACTGCTCATGTAAACCCCCACACACAAAATCAGCTGCTATTAGGATCCAGTTAGTTTCATTTCATTTTGACTAATATGGGATGGTGATTGTTCACCCGCCCCCGTCAACTCATTCTTAACCTTTGTAGTTGGAAACATCACTATTCTGAATATTTTCTTTTTTTTCTTCTTTCTTTTGTTTGTTCCTTCATTCCTTCCCTCCCTCTAGTAATTGTTATCTTCTGCGTTGGACTCCTTCCATCCACCTTCTAATCAAGGCTGTCTTTGACTTGTCGGATTATAAATGAGAGGGTTCATTGGATTAGGCATGACTGAGCTACAAAAAGGCCCAGGGATAGGTAGAAGCAACAACTGGATGAACAACTGACCTTTATGTTGTAGGAACACATTTTGAACTTCCACGGTCTCCTGTTCTGAAGGGTTACATTGTCTTACTACTAAAGAACTCAACAAATCTAAGGAAGACACTGGAAGCTTTCCCTGTAGTTAAAAGTAAACAAGCCATGGGTGATCTCAGTGACTGGATTCTTTTTTTACACTAAGCCAAAATAAAATAAACCACTTGGCTTAATGCAGATGGAACCTGGTCAATGTCAGAAATAGATTAGAACTGTAACTTTAATTCCAATGAGTTTACATTACATTAGTAAAATGAAGCCTATGACTTGGTTCACACATTGCTTTAAGCTGTTACATATAGGTAGTCCTCCACTTACAACCACAATTGAGCCCAAAATTTCCATTGTTAAGCAAGACAGTTATTCAGTGAATTTTGCCCCATCTTATGATCTTTCCTGCCATCGTTGTTAAATGAATCATTGCTGTTGTTAAGTTAGTGACATGGTCATTAAGTCAATCTGGCTTTCCCATTGACTTTGCTCGTGAGAAGATCTTAAAAAGACACTGCAGCCATTATAAATACATGCCAGTTACCAGGTGTCTAATTTTTGATCAAATGATCATGGCCTAAAAAATGGTCATAAGTCAGTTTTTTCAACGCTGTTGTATCATTGAACAGTTACTAAATGAATGGTTGTAAGTTAAGGACGACCTGTAGTTTGCTTGTTTGCAATGTATCATTAAAGTTTGAATCCAATGATAATAGTTAAATAAATTGCACTGGATCACCTGACAGAAAAAGACAGACACTGACTTTAATAGATTAAAATACACGTGATATGTACTAATGACTTTCCTCATTTAGAGGTAACCCTCACCCCAATCTACTAGCAATTTTTGTACTGAAGCCTGGGTTTTTTTGTGCTTGTTGCCTACATACAAAGAAACAAAATGCTTCTACATGTATGATTACTTAATGGAGTATCTACAGTTTTCTAAATGTGGCTCAAAAACACATTTAGCTGCATTACCATTGGTTGTCCTTGATGGGAATCCTGAGAAATATTGTTCAGCAACAACTTGAAGACCATATGTCCCCCTAGTTCATTTCATGAACACCTGAGGTAATCATCGCTTCTCATGGGCTATTTCATAGCACCAATGCTTCTCTATTGCCTATCCAGCACAATTTCTCCTTTTCCTGTATGGTCTTCTGATAGCATATCACAATTTTGGCTTAGAAGTTTAGGACTCAAGCAAAGGTGGTATTCAGCAGGTTCTGACCAGTTCTGGAGAACTGGTAGCTGAATTTTTGAGTAGTTCGGAGAACCAGCAAATACCACCGTTGACTGGAGATTTTACAGTATCCTTCCCCTGCCACGCCCACCAAGCCACGCCCTCAGAACTGGTAGTAAAAATATTTGAATCCCACCACTGGATTCTAGGATGAATGAAAACTTCATAGCTTCTGTGCATTCAGTCCTACCACATTTCCTTCCTGCTGTCAAACATCTTGTCTTAATTTGTGCTGTCTATGGGGGTACCCTGAAACTATACACATCTGTAGAAAGCTATAGTTCAAAAACATTTGAGTGAATCCTTCATGCAAGTTAGTGCCTCATTTTGACCCGGGGTAATTTTACTATAAAGGATTGCTGGCACTTCAGAAATAAACATCTTTCTTTACTTCCTTCTTCAAATTTAAGTAGTAGGTTGAAACGACTTTTGTTCAATTGCCTTTTTTTTTCTTTGTAGGTTGTTTGTTGTTGATCTCGCATGAGTCCTGATGGAAGGAACTTTGAGGAAACAAAATACTATTTTTGCTATATTTTTGAGCGGCAAACATTTTGTTTTCAATAGTGATTATTTTTGGTTCAGTTCCTCTGGATACAGTGGCCGAAGACTTCAAAAAACAAACCTTCCATAACCTGGTGTCCTCTATCTGGGTAGGAAAATAAACTCCCAGTATTCCCTCTGAGCAATGCCCATGGTTATTGAGAATTCTGGGAGCTGCTTTCTTCCTACATTAAGAAGGTGCCAGATGGTGATATTAAAACTACATGGCGTGCCAAATATAGTAACAACTCTTAAGGAAGCAAAATTAGTCAGTTCAGAGAGTATAAAAAATGGGCAAGTACAACAGGAAATTGCAGTGCATATGAGTATTCCCTAAGTCCCATATAATAGTGCAACCCTGAGATCTCATCCACCAAGAGTAACTTTTTCTGACTTAAAAATACTCTCCAGTGATATATATATATATTTTCAGGGCTCCATCTTGCAAGAAAAGGAAGCTATTTTAATGTAGGACAATTGAAACCTTAGACTCCTAGAGCAACAAATAAAATAATTATTTATTTGATAAATGTTTGGTGTCTCTGTGTGATGGGCTTTCTGCCAATCAAATGAGAATGAAAGCTTTCCATTAAGAACATCATTGTACCAAGAATGTTGTTTCAGAACAGGTGCTGTTTCAACACTGCCTCACTTCAAGCAGGAAAGATGTGCTGGCTTCATTTTTTGAGTGACAGCGCAGTGTTTTATTCCAGAGAACATTATTTTCTCTTTCTGCTAGTGTTTCCCACTTCTCTCTTTTTCAGGTTGCTGGGCCCATTTTAATGAATGCTCTTGGGCATTAAGAGAAGTAGTGGGGTTCAAAGGAGCTCCAGTTTGCATATTAGCAGCCTGATGGTTTTTCCTAAGACTCCTTTGAATCTTGGTTTCTTGCCCATTTACCTTTTGAAGTTATATAACCAGCTTTGTTGAACAAGAGTATGAAATCCAGATGTTTGGGAGTGGTATTGACAAAGGGCAGACCTGAGATATTTTGACAGGAAAGAGAGTTATTAAAATCCACATTAAAATTTGCAGATTGCATTCCTCTGGGACTATCAGAATGGGGCTGCAAGGTGACTGCAAAGAATTCTGCTGTTAATGACTATCTGGATGTTTACAGGCTGGATAAGGACTCATATACAAACTAAACTCTGTAGCCACACTGACATCCATTACCCACCTTGATATACTGAGTCTGAATCTCATCGAAAAATTCAGATGTTCTGTTAAATCCTTTCCAAACACGGTTTGTGGCAAACACTGACATAAAACCTAACTCTTTCTTGTTCTGTGATATTAGTGGTAACACTGAATATTGTCTGTCTGTCTGTCTGTCTGTCTGTCTATCTATCTATCTATCTATCTATCTATCTATCTATCTATCTATCTATCTTCTAAAAATGGGATATCACCATTTTGCATACTGAAGACAGCCAAAATGCCAAAATGACTGTTGCTTCTTCTTTCTGTAATTGGTAACACAATACTATTTTTCCCTTTACTTAAGGGCCATTGGAAACTGATGAGGTGTCTGAGAGGAAAGGTTTGTGAGGATGACTAGTTCTGCCACCTCTTCAAAACACAATCTCTGCTGACAAATATATAACCTTTATCCTTTTTCTTCACTTTCACTATTCAGTTGAATGGCATCACCATTTATTCATCTGTTTTTGAAAGCACTTCACTGGAGAAACCATTGTCTCAAAAACCAAGCAAGATTAATATTGCAAAGTGGAAGTTTTTAGAAATCTCATGCCCATCTGTTAGTAGGGAGTCCAAAACAAAAGACTTTGTTGAAACAATTGTTGGAAGAAATATCCTTCTGGGTTCAGTTCCAAGTGGGGAAAAAGACACTGGATTCATGGAAGTTGCTTGGAAAGAAAGTTTATTGATGAACAGGATGGGTTCCTGGGCAGAAAAGGAGAAAGATGCTGAGAGTGCCTGGGTTTTATGCCCTCTCTGAGCTTTGAACTTCCTGAGGCATAGGAAGAGTATTCTGATTGGTTGCTGTCAGAGGTCATAGCTAGCTTTGTAGGTTGTCTGTGTGCTAAGTTTGATTGAAACTTGGTGGGTAGTACAATGAAGGGCAATTAAATTGGCTCTGCCTGAAAGAGGTAGATCTTTGTTGTGTAGAATAGACTGGCCTTGTCCTTAATGGCCCATTAACCAAGGTGGGGGAGGGAGGCTGAGTTTTTGCATCTCTGAGTTTCTACTTCTTTTTTTAGGGGAAATATTCTGCCCTTTTAATATATCCTAAAATATTTCATTTTTCTAGGAGAGGGGTGGGTTTTAACTTCTAACACATTTGAACCAGAGATGGCATCAGGGCTCTTGATCTTCCCAAATACCTGCTTTACTTTTGTTCAGGTTCAACTCTCAAATGGGAATAATTGTTATGAATATCTACTCTACCTCCTAACCCCATTTGTTCAAAAGGCTGATTCCCAAGTCACAGGACTTTGTTTAGGTCCAGCAGGAAAAAAGATGGCAGCGGGTTTGTGATTAGAGTCTTGCCCTTAATTATACGTATCACAGGTTCAACATATATACAAAAGGGAAGGATTTCAATCACATGAGTGACACTGACATCTTGACTTTTTTGACACCCAAAATGCCCCTTAGAATTTTCTACAATTAGTGATGTTTGTGGCAGGGAAGTCTCTTTCTCAAATTAGTTCCCATTTGAGGGCAGCCCTTCTTCCTAAAAATTACAGCAGCAAATCAATACACAATCCTTTTGTACAGCACTGAAGAAGGCACTGTGAACGTGATCAAGAAAAATCCTGTTTTTTCTTCAACAGATACAGCATAGATAGAATGTTGCTGTATAAGTAATCCTTGACATGACCACAATTAAGACCAGAATTTTCATTGCTAAGGAAGGCCATTGTTAAGTGAGTTGTGCCTGATTTTATGATTTTTTATGCCACAGTTGCTAAGTGAATCACTGCAGTCATTAAGTGAACCATGTAATTATTAAGTGAATCTGATTTCCCCCATTGACTTTCCTTGATGGATGCTGTTGTGAAGGTCACAAATGCTGATCACCTGATCCCAGAATGCTGCAACCATCATGAATACACCCAGGTTGCCAAGTGTCCAAATTCTGATCACATGACTGTGGGGATGCTGCAACAGTCTTAACTGCTAGATTTGGTCATAAGTCACTTCTTTCAGTGCCGTTGTAACTTTGGATGATCACATTTACAATAGTTGTAAATCAAGGACTAGCTGTACACATTTATAAAAATCAGTTTAATAAAGGTAGTTTGTATCCTTGTAGATGTTTCACAATTTGCATATCTAATACACAGAGATGGAAACACAGTGCTTGTTATACCTCTCTCAAGTGCTTCAAATGCTTGAAAAAAATATTTTTTTGCCTTTAAGCAAAGTTTTGGTCAACATATTTGCATTCACTTTTAACAAAGAAATCATACGATAATAAATAATTTCTGCAGAGGTCTTTTTTTTTTACTTCAATATTACAGAAATAAATATTTCATCAAAGGAAGTAGAACATATTCTGCATCTTGTTTCTTGTCAATCAAGTCCACAATCAAGTTCAATACTTCCAAAATACTATACTTCATAAAGGACGCTAGAGGGCAACCCTTGTATAGATAACTTCCTTATTTGGAAACCAGATTGTGAAATGGCAGCAACAAACTTTATTTCCTTTGTGAATTGCTCTTGAAATCTATGCAATAAATATCCTTTTGAAAAAGAAAAGAAATAATTTCTTTGAATAGCGACTGTGTTTTAGGTTGCAAAAGCTCAAAGGTGTTAGAAAATAATAAGCAGATATTAGTATCTCTTATCCCAAAATTTAGAAGATCAGCACTCTTCATGTTGTTGGCTTTTGCAAAAATTAGCACTGTACTTTTCAGATTGGGAAGCTTAAGAATAAGGAGACTGTGTATATAGTTTCTTTTTCTGAAAAATGTTAGTTTTTTTTTGGGTGATTAGGCCAGGAGGTAGAAAGCACAAATTATTATGGATGAGCAGAACTTTAAACTTCATACTTCAGAATCACTGGCTGTTGGACAGTGTGTACATTTTAATATAATAATAATGATTATTTTGCAAATTATTTCAACATATAATTGAAAAGAAGAAAGTGCAGATCATTGATTGGTAATACCAGGCTACAGTAGGATAGAAAACAAAGAATTTGAAAAGATTGCAAAGTAACAAGATCTGAAAATCAAAGTTTAGGACATAAGCTGGCCATGGCGGCCCCCGTGGTTACCACTTGGAACCATATCAAAAAATCATGAACGATGCTTAGAACATCTGTGCATTGACAACATTTCCATCTGTCAGTTACAAAAGGCCATACTGCTTGAATCCACACAATACTATGCTGATACATCACAATATTCTAAATTCTTGGAAGAAACATGAAGGCCAACCCCAGCTAAAGAACTGGCAGCTGTGATTTCGCACTGTTGGATATATAATAAGAAGAATGTGATCTTCAAAAGACGTTTTGAGGTGCGCAGGAACAGAAATGACTCTATAAAGTATCCTCAACCTTTGAGGGGAATCTGCCAACTCTCTGAGGAAAACACTTGTGGGATAGGTTCTTTGGCTTTGTAAATGTTAACAGGTGATTTTTGAAAAAGTCCATAAAGTCTAAGCCAAAAACCAAACAAATTCCATTATGTCTTAGTATGTTGTGTTGGGTTTTGTATTTTTTCCACACCGGATTGAAATCCATCAAACTCTTAATAGGACTGGGGGCTTACAGTTGCCATATATAGGCTGAAAAACTCCAAATGATTACTAGATTACCACCAAGAGATATCCAAAACTCTAAACCGGGGGTGTCCAACTTGCGGCTTGCGGGCTACATGCATCACACGCTGGCCATGAGGCCAACCCATTTTAGCAAAGGGGGGAAAGTCATGATACATCATGTGATGACAATATGATGCCATGAATTTGACACCCCTGCTCTAAATCCTTTGACAACTTCTAGTGGTCATTCAGATTTTTGCAAATCAGGTGTCTTTGTAAAATACCTTTAAATTTTCAAGATGATGCAATTTATAATATTCATTTTGCATGAGTTTAGGACTGCATTTGTATATTAATTACAGGTTCTTAGCAATAACAAACATTTAACGAAATCCTTGCTTTGCTTCTCCGACTTTGGATTGGGGTACAAAAGATTTGTAGGAGAAAAGCCATGTTTGTCTATGGTGGCAAAAACCCTCAGGAGCCTAATAGCATCTTTTTAAAAAAGCATACATTTTGGTGAGCTCCGATTCACTTAGCCGTTGTATGCACTTCAATTCATAAAAACTGATGCCCTTTAATAACATTAGTCTGATGTCTATGGAGATTCTCAGTTATCCAGGTCATGGTTGTCCCAAAGGTGCTTTTTCAAGAGGCAACTGGACTTTCTGATTTTATTTATTTATTTTATTTATTTATTTGATTTGCCAATTGTTTACAAGATAATAAGTATAAGTGTATACATAGTTGTGAATACATGAAATGGGTACATATAAGAAAAATAAAAGAATAAGAGAAACAATAGGACAGGGACGGTAGGCACGTTGGTGCGCTTATGCACGCCCCCTACAGACTCATCTCCTCATCCAAGAAATTTCTTCAGAGCTGAAGGAACTTTACTTTGAAGACGTTTCACTTCTTCAGAGTTGAAGAAGCTTCTTGGATGAGAAGCGAAACGTCTTCAAAGAAAAAACCAGAAAGTCCAGTTGCCTCTTGAAAAAGCACCGTTGGGACATTGGTTAGTCGGAAGAAGTATTGCTAAACTCCTGGGGTTTTTTTGCGGGGTGGGGGGGCGGGGAACACACAAAATGTAATGTTTTGTTCCAGTCGAGACGTCCTGCCTTCCAACTCAGGTATTGCTCCCACTATGCCCTGCGCCCGACGCGACGGGTGTCCAGAAGTCACCCCCTTTCCCGTGCTTGGCGGTGGAGGCAAAGACTACACTTCCCAGAGGGCAGTTCGCTTCAGGTCGGGCTGAGATTTGAAAGGAGGAAGTAGGCAGGTTTCCGGTGGCGCTTCTCTTTCTCCCCCCCCCCTCCCCGCCTCTCCAGTTTCCTCCCCCTCCCCGACTTCTGCGGCCGTTGAGGAGCGCCAGGGGTGCCAGTCGCCCGCCTCGCCCGTCCTGTCGCCGCGATGGGCTGCACGTTGAGCGCCGAGGATAAGGCGGCGGCCGAGCGGAGTCGGATGATCGACCGCAACCTTCGCGAGGACGGAGAAAAGGCGGCCAAGGAGGTGAAACTGCTTCTGCTCGGTAAGGAGGAGGAGGAGGAAGAAGAAGAAGAAGAAGAAGGGCTGAGGCGGAGGGTGGGGCCCGGGCCTGCCCCGCCGAGCCTCTCCCGGGCAGAGGGAAGGGAAAGGCGGCGGCGGCGGCGGCGGGGGCTGTCAGGGGCCCCGCTGGGGTCTCCGCACCGCGCGGCCTGTTTGCTTGTAGCGGCTTTTGTTCTCTGCGGGTCCCCCCGGCGGCCCCCGAGCGGGTGGGCGTTTCGTGGCTGGCGGTCTTCCGTTGCCCCCCAGGCGGACCCGGAGGAAGGGAGTCCGACCCGGTCCAAGCGGATCCTCGGGACCCGCGTAAAAGGGAGGGGGGGCCCCTGCTTGAAAGGCGTTGTCTGAAGGGCTTGGACCGACGGCTCCAGGGAAGTCGTCAAGTCGTTCAACCCGAGAAGTCTCCGGGCCTTCCTCGAGTAATAAAGAGCGTTTAGTGCAGAGACACACGCGTTGGCTTTGACTGGTTAGAGAAGTCGGATCTGAGTTTGATGGTGGGGTGTATGGAATAAGGAGACCATGAGCAAGGAAGAGATTGGACAGTCATTTGCCTGAAATGGGGTAGGGTTTCCGCCAAGGTCCCTTCCAACTCCTTTTCCTATTCCTATTCCTATTTTATTCTATTCCTAATCCCAATCCCAATCCTATTCCTATTCTGATTTCTGTTTCTGTTTCTCTATTCTATTCCTATTCCTATTTTATTCCTATTCCTATTCTATTCCTAATCCTATTCCTATTTTAATTTCTGTTTCTGTTTCTCTATTTTATTCCTATTCTATTCTATTCTATTCTATTCTATTCTATTCTATTCTATTCTATTCTATTCTATTCTATTCTATTCTAATCCTGTTTCTGTTTCTCTATTCCTATTCCTATTTTATTCCTATTCCTATTCTATTCTATTCTATTCTATTCTATTCTATTCTAATCCTGTTTCTGTTTCGGTTTCTCTATTCTATTCCTATTCTATTCCTATTCCTATTCTGTTCTATTCTATTCTATCCCTAATCCTAATCCTATTCTAATTTCTGTTTCTGTTTCTCTATTCTATTCCTATTCCTATTCCTATTCCTATTCTATTCTATTCTATTCTATTCTATTCTATTCTATTCTATTCTATTCTATTCTAATCCTGTTTCTGTTTCTCTATTCTATTCCTATTCCTATTCCATTCCTATTCTATTCTATTCTATTCTATTCTATTCTATTCTATTCTATTCTATTCTATTCTATTCTA